CTTTCGTCTGCGACTCAAAGCGGGTGAGTACAGCTTCCGTCAATGATTTGCTTACCGCGCTCTCTATGACCGCCTTGGCATAGACGGCTAATGCTATGCAACACTCCGACGCCCATGCCATCTTCCCTGAGAGTCCCACTCCTACATGATGAAGGCCTGTGATGAGGCCCTCCGCCGTGGGTTCTCCAGCCGCCGGTACCATCTGATTTTTCCGCAAGACAGCGAGAGCTTCGTCCATGGTCTGAATCTTGTCCACCGCTGCCGTAAAGGTGGCTGTAGCCGGTGTGGACCGCAGTTGCTTGGTAGGCGGTGCGCCTGTCGCTACAGTTGTCGATGTCTTTCTTGTCTGCGAGGCGGTTTGTGGCGATGCTGCCGGTCCTCGCCTGGTAGTGTCCTGGGGCATCCTACTGTCCGTATGTATTGCTGCTGTTTCATGTACGCTATAGGCCGTCGCCCAGAGGGATAACTGACCACACGACGTAGCCCGCTCCTATTGGCTGACGATCGTGGGAAAGTTGCCGTAGGTGGTGGTACGAGTGAAAGGAGCTCCGTGTCAGATGGGATTATGCTACGCGTTGGTCCCCAGTGCACCACGCATCGAATTACGACGGTGATCCATACAGCTTCTCGTTCTCAGATAAAAGTTTCAATATTCCTAGCGCCGTCCTAGGCCGGTCTACTTCCGCCCACGGCTCTACCTTCTTGACACAGAGGTCGTATCTCATTCACAGCTCATTCGTCCGTGCTTCTAGCTCCGCTTTGGGATAAGCACAACCGTCAGGGGAATCGGATGGTATGAGCCGTAGGTGATCGAACAAAAGTGCGCGCGCAGAAATGCGTGTCGAAAAGTTCTCGCCTCGGTATCACGATACATGCATGAATGATATTGACATCGCCACGGCTTTTGCATTACAATCATACTGTTACAGCTTTGCAGCTAGCACATCTCCGCCGTACACTATCTTCGAATTCAACGCAATCCTTCGATGGTAATCCTCTTGTGCCTTCGTCATCTGATCATGGGTGTGTGCGATCTCTCCTTCCTCTACCCAGCGGCGGAAAGCCTCCAAATCGACCTCGCTCGTCGCGTCTTTCACGCTGATTGACCAAGTCACATGCTCCAACAGGTACAGAGCACATGAGATAGCGGCGAAGTAGTTGAGCAAGGGCGTGGTCAGAAGAGCGTTTGTGGTGCTTTCGCCGAAGTGAACGGGCAGCCTCTCAAGCGATGCAGAGAGTATTTCGACCGCTCGCAGAGCAGGAGAATGCAGCCGAGCTTCGGCTGCTTGAATCAGCGAGCGCCCCCACTGAAAAGGATACGATTATGAGTAGTTAGTATACTGAAATATGTCAGAAGGAACACGCGTACCTCGATGTAGTACGTGACCGCCTTCGGCTCCTTTGACACCGCGCGCGTCAAGTCCAAGGCGCACACGCTAATGGTGCCTTCCCATATCTTCTCGACCATAGCATCGCGGATGAGTCTACCAGAGCAACAAAGATTGGCAGGTTGATGTTGATAGCGTTTCACCAACAAGTCTGGAACACTCACCTGCCAATGCCAGTCTCTTCCATGTACCCCAAGCCACCCAGTGCGCCCATGGCCTGCTCCATGCCGGCAGTGGCCCAGTGCGCCGCGTATCCCTTGATCGTGGGTGTCAGTAACCTCAGTCGAGCCTCCTCTTCTACGCTTGCCAGGCCGCATTCGCTCCTTCCAAGCAAGCCGATCGCTCCAAACGTGAGGTTGACCAGCGCCTTATACAAGAGCGTGATCTCAACGAGACCTGCCACGTGCATGGGCACGTCTTTCAGGAGAGTCTTCCCGCCCTCGACAGCGCGCACCGTGGAATAAGCGCGTGCGATGGAAAGGCAGCGCTGCAGGGACCCTACGCAGTGGATTGTCGAGTGTACCCGTGTGATGTTGAGCATGCGCGCGATGCACCTCACGCCCTCGTTGAGCGGACCAAGCAGCCAGGCACGGGTGCCGCGCAACTCGAGCTCAGCTGTGGGGACGCCGTGAGTGCCGACTTTGTTCTTCAGGCGATGCAGGAAAACTCCGTTGGATAGAGGCGAGGAGTACTGGCCCATGCGCAGGGGAATCAAGAAGAGCGACAGGCCGCGCGAGCCTTGGGACACATCGCCGGTACGTGCGAGCCCGACGGCCATGTTTCCCTCTGCTGCGCTGGAGAACCACTTGAGGCCGTCCAGGATGTACGGATCGCCCAGATCACCGTCTACGCGCTCTGTGGGTACGGCGCGAGTTTCGGTCTGAGATACATCAGAACCACCGGGACGCTCGGTCATCCACTGACCGGAGAGGTAGGCAGTTGCAGGATCCCGACTCAGCAAGTGTGGGAGCAGCTCGCGCTTCATTGCCTCGGTCCCGAACAGATGGATCACTGGAAGACGGTGTGAGTGAGCAGAAGGAACTATTGCAACACTGTCAACGATTGACTTACATCGCGTAGCACCATCCGTCATCCCCATGGGGCACATAATCTAGGCGATGTTGATGCTGAGCTTTTGTGGACCTTGTATAATGGGTTCTACTACTTACGGCGTGACAATCTCCGGTCATGATCATGTTCCGCACGAACATGACCGTCCTGCTGTATTCACGATAATCCAATTCGTATGCTATCGCATTGTAGCCCTCTTCAATAGCGAATGCTTCAATTCGACGCCACCCTTCCGATGTGTGCAGAATGTCGACACGACGACCGAACTCGTCGTATTGCGTTACAGACGCTGGCTGCACCAGTGGCGCAAGGGGACGTATATCTTAGATGCATTCAAAGCACTCTGTAAGCAGCGGCGGGGCTAGGATAGGAAACCAACTCACCTTTGATTAAGACGTCCCCTAAACGTGTCAAGTCGCTGTCGACAGACTTCTTGATCCTATCGCAGTGTAAGTTGCATGGTTATGAGCTCGAATCGTACATACTCATGAGGAAGGATGCGCCTGAGCAAGGAAGGTAGGACGGGATCTTGTAGGTAAGGATGTTCAGTCGGGTACGGAGGCTGCGGAGACTAGTCAGCGAGTCTAACACGCAGTGATGACTGACATGCAGCTCACCTGCTGAAAACCTTCTTCGATGCGCATTTAGAATTGACTTGAGGCGTGCGAGGGGGCTAATGAGTGTGGCGGGGAGCTCCTTGGTACAGAATGTGGATAGGGTTCCTGCCGCTGCATCCCATGGGAGGGGCTTATGTAGGCAGTATGCTTCGATTATGTCGGTATCTGAAAAGAACTGCCTCGGGGATTCCGGCTGTGCGGCGGATATAGGAGGTTCTAAGGATGTGGGCGTACCACACAGTGCGTCAGTTGAGATCTCGGGTGTGCAGGTTTCCCGGGTCTCGCACGATAGACGCCTTGAATGTCACCGACCTGTCTGTGGCCTATCTTCCTTTAAGCATGTGCCTGCACCCTGTGCAAACTCGTCCAAGAAGATCGGACAGGATAATGTACATAGTATGCACGGTGCACCGACGGTATCCTTCTACATACGTGGGCTGTGATCACGTGATCCTGTTGTCGCGTCCTGTCCTAGACAGTTGCCACCACCACCCCAAACCAACACTATCACCAACTCCGGAACCCCGGTCTGACATGACCTACTCGTTCACCATCTGACTTTTCTCTGCTTGCGCTGGAGGATGACCAAACGATCCCACACGACGTCCGCTTTTCTCTTCCAGCAAGCCTGGAGTCGTCGCCACTCTGAGCGGCGGGCACTCCACCTAGGTCCTCGGCATGGACATCTTTCCTAACAGCAGGCTTGCCGTCTCTGGCTCTGCAGACAAGACGGAAATTCATCTTGTCCTCGCGTCGTCTTCTGAGCCCTCTTGTCTCACAGCTTGTCCTCGCTCCCCTGTACAGCTACGGTCCTCAGCTCCAGCCATGGCTGAAGTCGGTGAGTATCATCCGCGAGTCGATTCTGTCTTTCTAGTCCCCTTCTCTAGTCACTACCGTAGCCACGTCTGCTTTTGGTGTCATTGTGCGTTCTGGCATCTCTTCGTTGACTTCCACAATGCGTGGGTGGTTTGCTGTGAGACGTAGTCTTACCGCCGAGCTTAATAGGAGGATTGTCTCCGGACTTCGTTCCTTGTTGTATGATGCATCATTTTATGAATGCCCTTGCGTAGCGATGTACTTCTATCGCGTTGTTGTGCTCAATATAGTCTCCTGTTTTGCATCCTTCCTTCCGGACGCTCGGCGACCTCCCCACGCCGCGAAGCTGAGTGAACACATTTAGCCCTTCTTTCTCTATCTTCTTCCAGAAGCTCGTGATTCCCTATGTGCTGCTCAACTTCCACAACAGCAAGTCGTTTCAAATGGAAGCAACCCCTCTATCTTCCGTGCAGAGCGCGAGAATTGAATGACAGCAAGGGGTGGCTGTCGTCGATCAAGGCAAGAGCTCAACCGACACCATGAAGCCTGCCACGTTCCCGCACGTCTCCCTAGGAAACATAAGCAAGTCACATCGCGTGTCTGTCGTCAGCGTCTTCTTCGGCAACGACAACGGCACCCCGGCGTAAGTGAGAACAAGAGCGCAGAAGTTCTGATCGTGTTCGCAAATGTGTTCCGGCAGACGGAGCGCAACATACACAGGAGTACATCGCGCGACGGGAATTCGGGGGGAGGAGGCGCCCATCAGAGGCCCCGTGCGCGATCAATGCTTATCACCGAGGACACCACCCGGAATCCAATGGTTATAAAGACCAGCGGATTTCGCTTGGCCTCCTTGCGGAAGCCACTGGTCGCGTCAGTGGGCCATGTTGTGTCAACGGAAATCAAAGGACGCGCCCGTGGCGGGGTGTCCTGAGCGACTTCGATGAGAGCCTTGTGCCGAGACAGGCACTCGCCCTAAGAGGCGCCGGTGCTATCGCTGCCTTCTTCCTTCCACCATCGCGTCGTGTATTCTGGGAGATCGTCTCTGCGTGCCCCCTCATCTCACCTTGAATTCTCTCTCCATATGGCCAGTTCTGGATCAGAGTAAGTCGTACAGTCCATCGTTAGCGTAGGGCAGGTTTAAAATGATATATTGAGGCCACAGAATGCCGTTATAGGGGGGTCACGCGAGATCCTCAACCCACGAGGACAACGACGTCGGCCTCACTGAAGAGAGCACCAACGTCCCCATCCCAGCTCGCTCCGGAGCACCAGAGCCCGAGGTCGAAATGGAGGATGCTGGCACCCAGGAAGGCGAGGAGGATGACGATGACGGCTCCGTCGACCTGGAACAATTGGGGCCCGCCCTTTCCAGTCGTATGGAGGATTAGCTACGCATGGTTGTTTGCTTTGAGTCAATGAGATATATTAGTTGCATTCTACGCGTGTCAAAGTCGTCCAATACAACAGTGCTTGCAGTCAAAGCAACACCATCTACCGCACTCGAGCAACCCCTAAGCGCCCTGCTGACCAGAAATTTACCATATTTGGGGCCAGGGCACCCACACGTATCACCGCTGGCGGCCTCATGGGTGCCCTGGTGTCGCGCCACCCAAAATCTGGGTGGCTTTATGACCATTGACATCCGCATGGCCGGGCGATGGCCCCCGCTGGGAGCCCGTGCCAGCGAATTCCAGTCGCGCGATGTACTCCTGTGTAGAGCAATGTGGAGTAGTCCATAGATTGCACCATCACGGTGGAGGTGGAAAGCAAGTTCTGTTCGATGCACATTTTCTGTATGGAGCGTTACTGGTTTGCATTGCGTTGTCGCGTCTTGTCTCGTCTCATGTCTCCACTTCTATAGCCTTTTCAGTGTCTCTGCTGTCATTTAACACCCATAGCCCACAAAGCAAGTGACTTGCAGCAAGGAAGACCTCAACTCTTGATTTTGGTGCATGAGCCCTGTTGGAATCCTGGCGTCAAGATGGCGAGCTCGCGGAACGAGCGCCACAGGTCCCGCCCCCCGACGGATACCCGCGCCCTTATCTACCCCTATTTAGCTACGTATATAAGCCTTATTGTATCTACTGTGTACGGCACGCGTTTGCACCGGCCAAACGCGAATCCCATTTGTGCCCGCTTGCCCTCGAACTTCTTCAA